TGTCATAACAGGGAAATGGTTATTGCGTACGGACGCTAAATTCACCCAAAATAATCGTCTAACGTTCTTAGTTTTGGGTGTAAACTGCGATTTTTAAAATAAAATTTGATATTTTACATTTAGATGTTAAGTGTTTGTAATTACTAGTTCTATTTGCTCACAATACTCAGTGGCAGAATGATTATTGACTTAATAAATGGTATTATTTGCTCACAACTATCAAAATACGTAACAATAGTGTATTATGATCCAATAAACTGGACGTGTGTGTGACGTTACAATAGTTTAAAAGCAATTAAATTATTCTCAAAAGAATCAGAAATTGGAACGAGTATTATTTGCGCGATATTTTGAATCAAACATTCGCGGGAAAGATCAAAGGGTTTCCCGCGCTCCTGTGTGACATCAAAGTAATTTCCCGCAAGAGTTTAAATAACCTAATAAACGTCACTGAAATTGTTTCATATTTTAACCCTCTCATCACCACCTGACAAAGAGATTCGTTGGGTATATAGGGTTTATTTACAACTTAGATCGACTTTAGCGAGTGCCATGGCTGCTATCAGGCATATCCATAGTAATGCATATACAGGGCGACCCCAACGAAGTGATTTATTTAAGACTTAAACTTTCGTTTGTGTATGATTGTATTTGTACTTAAAAAATTCAGTAATTTACGCCGCTTTGCACAAAAATCTTATCTCTAGAACAGGGATGTGCAACCTGCGGCCCGCGGGCCAAATGTGGCCATCAAAAAAAAATTATGTGCCCGCGAAACGAGTTTTCACAATTTAATTAGGTGTGTGCGAGTAATTCCAATTCCTTCGCGTAGCGAAGCCCACACCTGAGTCCGATTTATTATCTATGACTATGACGTTACAATGACTTAACAGCTAGCTTGTGCGAACAACGCATGTCGTAAGATCAATAACCAACATTTTTGTGCCTGCAACTACTAGATAGCCTATGTTAAATAAAGGTGCGGCCCGCGGTTTCAACCAGTTATTTCTATCTGGCCGTCCTGTATTAAAGGTTGCACACCCCAAGTTTGGCCAACGTTTCGAATGTCAATGCAGACAAACTTCGTCGGGCAATAATGAAAGCATTACTCTGACAAGGTTTTCAGTCGCACGACTTTGTTGACATGAGTGTATGCGGTAGAACAGAGATGGGCAAACAAAAATTGTGCCCACCAAGATTGGCGGGCCATGTAAGAGTGACGTAAAAAGTAACATTTTATAAACAATATTTACAGTGTTACAAAAATGGAAAACAATAAACCTCGTGCCAAAATTAAATTTAATCGCACAACACTCGCACTCATAACCAATTCTTTGGGCTATTTTTAGCTGAAACATCGAAATTTGGGTTTAGTTGGTTTCGCTGTGGCAGCTTCAGGCGGGCTAGATTAAAACCCAACGAGCCGCAGTTCGCCCATTTCAGGGGTAAAGGATTCGGCTAGAAGTTTGCTTTTTTCGAGCAATACTGACTTGTTAAACGATACATCTACATTCTACGGACCACGCTTGGTAAAAAGACTTTTTAATCCCAATAAATTCTGGTTTATGTGCATGAATTTGCGACCACATATATGTACGTGAAACTATGGCTTCAAGTTTGGCTAAGTTTTATTTCTATGAATTTGCTTAAAAAACAGATTTTGTAAGTTTTTAACTAAAAGTAGAAAAGTGCTTATAGATGGTTGTTTGTCACATCTGACGCGCCAAGAAGTATATTTTTACTCTTATGACAGTATGTCATTTAATAAATCGGATTCGCAGAAAACTTCATTTTGCGCAAAGACATTTCTAGCAGAATCACGAAAATACACCTCCGAAAGAAAAATACAGTGCTTCTCGCACTAGTGTTCTCTGTGTTGAATAAACTTTTTTACACGGCATGATTTTGCCAGGTATTTAGCTATCTAATGTATTCGGCGACGAGTATTGTTCAAGCTGTCGCGACTCGGGCAATATTATTCTTTCCCGACCAGGCTGGGGTTTTACGAAATAAAATTTTGGCCAAACCGAAATCCGGTTGAGAAAAAAAATTCGACTCCGACATCAACATAAAACCACCAAAATTCGGTTGGAAAAGAAAATTCGACTCTGACATCAACATAAAATCACCGAAATCTGGTTGAGAAAGAAAATTCGACTCCGACATCAACATAAAACCACCGAAATCAGGGTGGGAAAAAAAATTTGACTCCGACATCAACATAAAACCACAGAAATCCGGTTGAGAAAGAAAATTCGACTCTGACATCAACATAAAACTACCGAAATCCGGTTGGGGAAGAAAATTCGACTCCGACATCAACATAAAACAACCGAAATCCAGTTAAGAAAGAAAATTCGACTCCGACATCAAATAAAACCACCAAAATCGGGTTGAAAAAGAAAATTCGACTCTTACATCAACATGAAACCTTTGGTCCCGTTCTAAATCGTACCAGGCACCCTACAGGCTATATAGTTGTTAAATATGAATTCGATTATACTGCACACAGAGAAATATGATCGTGAAATTTAACTATTTATTTGTTAACTACTGTGCATTTCTACCTCGTTATAAATCACGATTTCCTAAGTCCCAATAACTTTAACGACGTGTATTATTACTAGGACTATCTAGTTTTCAAATTAACATAAAACAAAATTTCCCAAAGGGTTTAATACATAAGACTTCTGGCATTCTGGCTAATTTATACATTATTAAGACATTACATTCATACCACAAAGCAGGAAAATGTGACAGTAATGGCCAATGTAACCACAGCAGGCTCGTGGTTGCCTGTACAGAGCCTTATCCTGAGCAAAGAGACGAAACCACGAATACGAAACGATCAACTGACCACAGGTGCGTTCAGCATATCAGTTATCTTTGATATTTTTAATTCGGAGATTTAGGAATAATTTGGAAACATTAGAAAAATGATTATTTTAAGGAAAGGAAATCTCACCGTATGGCGAATAACTTCTCTATCTAATTTATAAAAGTCCAAAAAATAGCGATCACCAGGCTTGTCCATGGGACATATTTTTTTGTCCCATCCCATGGGATTCCCATTGGAAATAATTCACAATAAAAAATGCTAAATTTAGGTTTGGCGTGTACAGAATAGGACTTAGTGTACAAAGAGCGTGCAAAACAACAAAATTTATTGACTTTGTTAACTTTAAAAATCCAGAACTAATATATAATTAACAAGAGAGGTATGCTCAAATATGGACAACCCTGGCGATCACCATTAATCTTAACTTTCCTGAATAACAGAAAGTCGTCGTCGATTGTCGTATCTCTCGTCTTGTCAGTTAAAATTTGTTATGGTTTCGCCTATATTGAAATACGAAATAATAAGTCAAAGAAATAGGGAGGGTAATTACATTTGCGGCTCTGATGATATATGACCGCTGCCAAAGATCAGAGTGTTTCCCGACAACCGGTAATTTTCATTCATGCGTTCATAATCGTATTTGTTTTAAATCTGACTATGATGTAATAATGTGGCACACGAACAGGTTACATACCCTGGTCACGGGCACTTATTACGCCACAATACAACCTTTGTCTCCGAGAGTCAATTTGGCGGGAGATTTCGTTCAAAATGTCTTTCCTGGTAGATATTAACCACAAAAAAGTAAACAAGGATTCCCCGAGATCGCGTATTTACAAACTTGTCAGAAATAGAAAAACAAAATTATAAAAAACAAACCAGCCTCTTGGTGGCTCCTGTGTTTCTAGCAAACCCAATGAACCAGAACTAAATATGCATTCATGCGTCACAATGGGATACGCACGCTTTCTTTACATCACAATAACCGCAGGACACCCACGGGTTGACGTAATTGACCCTTGAACCCTGAGTGCCTTGCAATGACAGAAGAGACTTTTTTGCGATGTATAAATATGTGACGCATTCGCCAAATATTTTTACAAAAAAAAAGAGATTTGAAAAAAGAAGTTTACTTTCGCAGCATAAAGTATCAAATTCGTATTCATATTCTAAATAATTTGTAAAAAGAGTATTAAACACTTCGGATAAGGAAAAAATCTCTCCTTTTCGTGGCAAAACGGTGGTGGGACTTGGTTCAGGAAAATGGTTGAGGCAACGTTTCCCAACTGGAAAGAAATTTGAATGTCTTTGGGAGGGAATCTTAAAATGGGACTATTCAAAATGTACAAAAGCAAGAGTACAAGTTGCACGTACCGCAAGCAAATGTTCCGTTGAAGATCGAATAGCAAATCCGAAGTGTCAAAAAGATTTGGAACCGCTGGGAAAGCCCATTGCACGGGTTAATGGTATGGCTATCCTCCGGTTAACGATTCCATGTCGGGTATGGAATTACTTATCGAGTTATTTGTTTCGGAGTTATGAACTTGGTGGTGGAGGAAGTCGTGACCCACAAGCGGTTACGTGAACCGCCTTCTAGCGGCGAGGAGTCCAGCAATCTTCTCGCACATAATTACCCCCTACGGATTCGAATCTGCGAACACACGTAGGGTAATTGCAGGTGCGGTGGAGAGCGTATTCCTAAAGCTTAGCACGGTGCACCACACCGCCGATGCAGTAATCTTTGGAAGTCACATTCATAGCATTCCTTCTTCGTGCAAACCTATGTGAACAAGCCCGACCGCAACCTTAGTGAAAACCTTTTTTTTTTATTTATGTATTTATGATTTCTGGTTTCAGTCCCTGGTCGTGTTCGCAGTACACCATGGACATTTCATGTTTCTTTGTTTCAATTAATTCAACATTTTCCGTTGAACATGAGTGCTAAAGCTTGCCATGACAGGGAAATAAACGACTTAAACCTAATGCAGATTCTTCAAGTTTTATACCAACCCTAATTTATTTACACGAATACACGAACGAATACTTCGAAAAGTTATCCTCACCTACATTCTGTATGCTTCTCCAAACAAGGCAGTGCAAACAAAGTCACTATCCAAATTTATAGAAATTCCTATTTACAATTTGAATTGAAATGACTCACCGAATATGGCCACGACTTGTGTGTATAATATAATCCATAGGAAGAAGCAATTCTTCCTTTTGATTTTTACTTCATGCTTGGTCCATGCTAAACATTAATACCCGGCAAGACATCACATAACTCATAGCTTTTGCACCCCGTTACCTAAAAAACAGTTATTGCACAATAGCGTCCTCCAATGGGTATAATACCAATAATTTTCACTGGCTGGGAAAGCCCGTGGCACGGCTATGGTATGGCTATCGTCCGGTTACCAGTCCATGTCGGGTATGAGATTACTTAGCAAGTTATTCGTTTCAGAGTTATGGACTTGGTGGTGGAGGAAGTCGTGACCGACCAGCGGTTACGTGAATCGCCTTCTAGCGGCGAGGAGTCCAGCAATCTTCTCGCACATAATTGATCCCTACGGGTTCGAATCTGCGAACACACGTAGGGTAATTGCATGTGCGGTGGAAAGCGTATTCCTAAAGCTTAGCACGGTGCACCACACCTTCGATGCAGTAATATTTGAAATCTCACATTCATAGCACTCCTTCTTTGTACAAACCTATGTGAATAAGCCCGACCGCAACCGCTAATGAAACCTTTTCTTTATTTATTTATGATTTCTGGTTTCAGTCCCTGGTCGTGTTCACAGTACACCATGGACCATTTCAAGTTTCTTTGTTTCAATTTATCAACCTTTTCCGTTGAACATGAGAGCTAAAGCTTGTCATGACAGGGAAACAAACGACTTGAACCTAATGCAGATTCTTCAAGTTTTATACTAACCCTGATTTATTTACGAGAATACACGAACGAATATTCTCTTTGAAAAATTATTCCTACCTACATTCTGTATGCTTCTCCAAACAAGGCACAGCAAATGATGCCACTATCCAAATTAATAGCAATTCCTATCTATAATTTGAATAAAAATGACTCACCGAGTATGGAAACGCATGTGTGTATTATATAATCCATAGAGAGAAGCAATTATTCCTAATGATTTTCACTTCATGCTTGGTCAATGCTCAACATTAATACCCGGCAAGACATCACAAAACTCGTAGCTTCTGCATCCCGTTACCTAAAAAAACAGTTATTGCACAATACCGCCCTCCAATGGGTATATTAACAATAATTTAATATAACAATAAGTTAACTAGGGCTCTGGCAACCGTCGATTTCTCTGCCCTATTCTGATCTTGCGTTGTATGAATATATGGTGTACAGTGAGATGGTAAGAAAGGCCAATCTATGACTTTTACGCAGTAGCGCAGAAGTCTGGCATTGCATTTTTACCGACGTTTGTCTATAACGCTTTGGCTAACCAAAGAAGTTTAAATTTGCAATAACACTAAGTTATGACAAGCAAAAATGTTGTAATATGTGAATCAATGTAATACTTGTTTTCGATTTTGCGTACGTGGACGATCAAAGCGCGTCTGGATATTCAATTATCGGCAGTTATAATTTTATGTAGCAAGTATAAATTTCCGGTTATGATGGAAGTAATTTTTTGCAAAATGTGTGAGGTGATCTGACGACGCACATTCTGGCAACTACTGCATTACTATGGCCCAGGCCTTCCCAAACTGGGGGTCGTAACCCCGCAGGGGACGCACAATGATTTTAAGTGTCGAAAAGACGACACCAATCGCACACAAAAGTATTATACTACTTTAAACTTCCGATTCCAAACAGAATTATTGGAACAAGAGAGATATGTTCAAATAAGGATACGTAGCGCCACATAGTGGCAAATTTCGATGACGTCATGGCACACATCCCATACATCTTACCGGGATATTTAAAATAAATAAAAGTAATGTCCTTCTAGCAAAAAATTTAATCTTTGAACACTGAAAATTTCAAAGCGATTGGTTCAGTAATCAAAGAGAAAAGCGATTTTTTTCTGTGACAAACAATAACATAATAACAAAATGATCGTTATGTCCACTAAAGTGTCCAACTAGTGCAAAATATAAATCTCACGATATCGAGAGAATACATAAAATTAGAGAAGCGGCGCGCTTGCTAACAATGTCGACCCAACAGAAGTCGAGAAAAATTGTAATATATTGTAAGGGGTCGCGAGCTTAAAACTTTGGGAAGCTCTGCCTAGTCAACGACAGAGCAATGTCACCATGAAAATAAAAACATCTTTATTTCACCAAACTAGGAATGCGTCATCTCTCTCTTCTAACATTTCCTCTGACAAAATTATGTCAAATTAGAAACGCATCTTTCAAACAGCTGGCAAGGCTTGTTTACTCATCTGTGCGCGGAAGATTAAAACTAATTGTAATTTGTTGTGGACAGTAAATATTTGCAATGCTGGTTTGAAAGGAAAGAAACGATAAAATTTCTCATAGTCAAACATATTTCACTAACTCATTCGTAAAAAAATTACGGGTTACGAGTTACATTACAGACGGTTATTGAAATGTCAAATGCTACTAAAATTATCTAAATTTCGATATGAAAATGCCGGTTAACATAATACGAGACCTTAAGCAGTGGAATACCCACTACCAGGGTGTGATGAACTGAGTCAATGCTAAAATATAAACACCTCGCTTCTTCCAAAAATAATAGTCACATGGCCCCCAAGGACCATTGGCTTCATCTTTTACAAGAAAACCCCCATTCCTCCTATTTTCATTGCTTGATGAAGTTATTTCACAGAGCATTTTCACTTTATTGAATATGGATTATTTGATAATAATAGAATTTGGAATCTACTAATCAAAAATAAGACTATAAATATTTCGGAAGAAATAAACAGTGGGGCTAAACGGGTGCTAAAAGCCTCCGGAAGGGTGCCAAGAGCCATAGGCAGCACGTGAAGAGCCTGGTACGGAGTGAAAAAGCCGTCTTAAATAGAAAATGTGATTTCGCTAGCAACCACACATGTATTGCTATAGATGTAGTATTTGCGCATCTGGAGACAAATAGACTCAGACCCTGCATAGCAACAGACGCAAAATGGGAAAACTGCAGGAACACAGTGCGTGTTTACGTTTGATGCGTGGGAATACTACTTGTTTACAGTCAAGTTGCGTGGGAATATTACGTATTTACGTTGGTCGAGTAGATAAATTCCGTTTTTATACACAGATGTTACGCCTATGTTGATTCTCAAATAGAAATGGGGGTAAAACTTTCCTGACAAATAGTAAAGAATTATTTTACACAACTGAGTTGTGAAGACTACGTAGATGCATAAATCTCCGTGATCCGTTAATCATTTTTCTACCAATGCTGAAAATACATAACGCACATATACATTGTAGAAAGAAATAATAATACCATTTCAGGGTGAAAGAAGACGTGGAAAAAATGGTTGTCGAGCAGCGACATAAAATAAATAATATTAAATATTATTATCCTGAGTGACTCAAGAGTCCTGCTGCACACTAACACAAATATATTTCTGTAACGTTTCGTCTGACCAAGGTCAGACTTCTTCAGACATACATAGTTCAACTATAGTTAAATGTTATTCGTTTAAAAAAAAATTTATGGGCCGTTTTGCACATCTGGTCTTGCAGAAGGGAAACGAAGATACGCAAAGTGATGTTGAATAATTCCTGGTTCTGCAATGCCTACCCGATATATTACAAAACCGGTGATGTAGTGGGCTTGAGGGTCCAAGCTCTTTAACATGCGACAGCAACGTAATTGTCTTCAACGCCCCATCTACTAGTCAAGAGTATCTCAACCTTTTTTTCAATTTTAAACAAATACATATTGCAAAATCCCGCGACCCAAGGATATGGTCACATACTAAACGGCATGAAGTGCTTTGACTAATATAAAACAATTATTTTCACATTTATTCCCCATAAACGATCGCAAAGTGATAAACAAAATAGATGTTGACAAGTTGTTATGCTGGTATACTTCCCACATATAAAACCCCTATTGAGCAACACTTTAATGCCGAATATACGATAAACTTTACTACGAAACAAAATCAGCAACTCTTGAGTTTTTGTTGTAAAACAAGCGCACCACCAAAGAATACTCTCAGGCAAGCCAGAGTTGGGTCGCGTCCCATGGGTTGGGGAACACTGCACTAGGCCACCGCTCTTGGACACATTTGCTGGCGCTTCTGAAGTATGCGTACCAAGATGGCGGACACTGGAACGTAGTATGAGTACCAGACTAGGGTGAAGCCATTATTTTAAGTACAAATTATACGGGAGTCAATTGGCTAGTCCCCGAACTCGTAATAAAGCTAAAATAGGAATAAAATTATGGCCTAACCCTAGCCTGGTAAACATACTACGTTCCGCTGTCCGCCATCTTGGTACGCATACTTCAGAAGTACTCATTTGCTACAATTCAAACCGTCGGCGCTACAGCCGCATGAAGTCAAACAATTAATGGCTAATCAATCAATACTCACGCAAATAGTAATTAGTATTGAAATGGATGATAAAGCTTCCTTATTTCAATCAGTTAACATGGCCAACATCGCTGTAAGTTTTCCATACGACTACGACAATCGACCGTGGTCTGAGAGTCATTTAAAGAAACACCGGAAACGAGAATTAAATGAAATTATATTTAACAAACAGTAGCCAATCAGATCAGATGTATGGACTATAAATGACTAATGGTTCTATGAGCGATCCAGTCTGTGTGTGACTTGTAGTTTAGAAGCCGTATTTTTTTTTCTATAGTTTTTATTTCGTATCTTACTGAAGTATGATATAAACATCAATAAAACAGAACGTGTAAGGTCAGCATATCTAGGTATTTCTGGTTCAGCACGGTTGTCTGTATGATAGCTAGATTTTGGGTATCGGTATAACATACAGCACTGATGCATCCACGTTATTGAGGGAATATTCTGTCTAGTAACGCTTCACTGATCCATACAAATAGCACTGCAGCACTAAGGTACTTATACTATTCCCAGCATGTTATAAAATATACCACTCACCTTGGTGTCGGTATGCCTGGTCGGTTACCCCGCTGTTCTCATGATCTCTCGCATCCCAAGTTCAACATTTTAATTAGAAAGAGGCGCAGCTGGCTACTCATCAACTTGCCATCAACTTTATGTCGCGGCGGTGTGGCCTAACGGGCTAAGCGTTAGGAATACGCTCGCCACCGCACCTCTAACTACTCTGCGTGGGTTCGCAGGTTCGAATCCCATGCAGGGATGGTTATGTGCGAGAGGATTGCTGGACTCCTCGCCGTCGTTGGGTGGTTCACGTAACCGCTGGTCGGTTACGGCTTCCTCCACCACCAAGTCCATGCTTCCGAAAACAAACAATACAGTAAAACTAATCCCATACCCGACTTGGAATGGTAACCGGATGAGAGGCCGTGGTTCGCCATATGGATAAGCCGTCTTATCGGCTTTCCTCTCCCCGGGATATGTAAATCCTATCCTATCCAATATTGTAAATGGCGCTTCATAGTGCATTCGAATGCGAAGCAGCTCGACGACGATGGCAGACCTACTACGGGAGTGAATAACAGCACTGGTGCATCTGCTTTACCGATGGAATATTCTGACCAGTCACGCTTCACTGATTTAACCAGATAACACTAAAAGAAAACTGTATAATGCATTCACATTAGCATGCCTGCCATGGCGGTATCGTTGTTCTTTGTGAATTTCCTTCGCGTCTTGTTCGAGAAATGGCGTCGTCGTTCTATCCCCTTTCCTAAATCTTATATGGTGCATAATAGGCCTACATTTAGGGTGACGCGACAGCGCGGCTGCAGACGGAATTCAATGGTACGCACACCTTTGCACACTTGATTTTTACGTTGGTTCAACAAATGGTAGATAGATAGATAGATAGATAGTTTATTTCGAAAACTCCATAACAAACCTAAATTTAAAATGGAGAATTCTGGAGGGCAAGCAAAACCTACAAAAAAGTTTAAAACATGAAGTATTTACTGAAGTAGCCTATACTGTAACCAGTATATCATTTAACGCAGTACTCACCTAAGCGATCCTGTTATTTTCATCGCACCATATGATTTTTCAGGCATTCCTTATTCTGGGAAGGGCTTCCTTATCGGTTTGCCAAAGGACGTGCGGGGGTACAAGCAACGCACCAGTCCGGCAACTCCGTCAGGCCATGTACTCGTGTGAAAAAATCTTCAATTATGACGACATAGGCCCTCTCAAGTAGGTCAATAGTTTTTTGACGGTTGCCAAGTTTGTCTAGGCATTCGCTGTTTTTTCGGTTGGATATTTTGATTACGACATGCAATTTTAGATGGTGGAAAGTTAACGCGATAAAGTCATATATCTATGATAGCTCACAGTCCTCAATTAGTATCAGCAGGAAAAGCGCAAAGCCGCTTCATGCATGAAGAGCAGTGGATGTTTCATAACTTTGCATACGAATGAGTTTTCTCACGCGAATACGCGTACCGACATAATTCTATATGGTCTTAGTAACTCTTGGCATTTCAGTACTCAGAGAAAGAAGATCCTTTTCTCAAAACTAGTTGTTCGGAGAGCCACGCAGCTACGACTAATTGTAGATTCCGACTTTTTACAAAGACCGACACCAAAGTGACCGTGTTATCAGAAAGATCGCACAAAACAACCCAAACATGCGTTGCCATTTTTATGTAAATATACCGAACAAATTCGCTGACACATATCTATGTACAAATGGTAGTGAGATTCAACCCGTTCTCAGAATGCCGTGAATCAGCGAACCTGATCTTGCTTATTTAGAGCTATTAGTTCGCCACGGTTTCCTTAAATAAGGAAACCTGTTGTTACTAAATTCGATGCAAAAACGAACCCGTCCTTAAAATTCTGAATCCCGCCACTCGTCGCAAGTGACTAATGGGCGGTCCAGAAGTATGTGTACTAATATGGAGATTTTGTTCGCCTACTTAACATCAAGTTGTATAAAGGGACTGGAATCTATGAGCAGGGAATATATTCACTTGGCTAACAATGGCAGTCCCCGAACTCGTAATAGAACTGAAATAAGGAAAATTGCGGCCTAACCCTAACCTTGCACACATTCTAGGGGAGCACAGTTTTAGCATTGCCCGTAACTTTGCTCAGAGTTCTTAGTTTTTGGGCAAGTGCTTGTGAGATGGCCTTTACATCTAAAAAAGTGAGCGTAACTTAGACAAAATCACAAGTACCCGAAATCAACTTTATTCCATTATTCATACCCATAGTACTTTTAATCAGGATTGGCAACAATAGCTTGCCACGTTAAGGGCTAGAATTGACATGGGCAAAGTACGGCCCGCGGGCCAAATCCGGCCCGTTGGGTGAATCGATCTGGCCCACCTGATGCTGCCACAACCAAACTGAATTCAAATTTCGATGTTTTAGCTAAAAATAACTCAAGGAATTGGTTGGAATAGCGGTTAAATTTAGTTTTGCAACGATTCGTATTGTTTTTCACTTTTGCTTTTGTAACACTGTAAATATTGTTCATAAAAAGTAACTTTTCACGTCACATTTGTATGACCCGCCAGATAAGGTGGGCAAAATCTTTGGCTCCTGATCCAAAAACCTTGCCCGCCCCTGGGCTAAAACAATGGTTCCAAATGCGAGTACTTGGAACCCAACAGAAGGATTTTGAGGTCTACGATCTTTTTTGAATTCACCAAGCGGAACAAATCAGCAAAATGAAAAACCTTCCATTGAGACCTAGTTTAAATAAATGAACGGAGCATCTCATAAAGTGGAGGCAACTTCTGTGTGCAGTTTTAATGAGCTTTGAACATGTTCTGTTTCTGTCAGAGACCACTTATACACAACAGTACCAACTAGCTTGGGATCCTCAGAAAATTTACAATATAGTCAATGCCTAACTCAGTGGCGTATCTAGGGAGTGACAGCCATGGCTCGTGCCATGGGCGCCGTTTGAACAGGGCCTCAAAAACAGCGAAAAGTAGTAATAATAAAACGTTTCAATAAAATAAAAATTGGGAATAACTAAAACTCGTATTTTTACTCAAATAATAACAGAAGTATCCTAATTTATTAATAATCATTATAAATTGTAACACAACTATCAAGGGTGCGCATTTTTAGACTTTGCCATGGGCGCCATTTTAAGTAAAAGACGGGAAATAAACAATATACAGTGTCAACTGTTTTCGTTCAGAGGATGCACAAATTACAGGCAAACCACCAAGGTGTCGTTCAATGGCACACATAACTGCGTAAGGGGTTCACTCCTACGGCGAGGCATCAAATGAGTCCATGGTACTCGCGAATTTGGAACCACTATGTTACATGATAAATACGAGAGAAGTCTCAAGATAAATTCATATTGTTCTATAATTTACAAATTGTGGAATTTTTGTACAACAGAAAAGTGCAAAGTATAAAACATTTCCAAACACTCGTTTTAACAATCGTAATAATTATTGGTCGTCCGAGAGCAAGGTCATTCCCACTTACTCAGAAAGTGAAGACTCAATCTGAGTAAAATTATGAGCAACCGCTGAGAAGTCAAAAGCTTGTGGAACTCCTAATTCAGGATAACTTGACACCGCCCACATCACACCCCCTTGAAAATAGAAAAATTTCAGTCCAAAAACATTTATTAATTTATACATTATTAAGTCTGGTCCGTATATAATATGCGCTGATTAGGCTCGGTCTATACATGGCCAAACAAGCAATACAGATGTTAGTTAATTTAAACATGATATTTTGAAAAAAAGATTAAAAAAAATCACCAAACGTGCCTTTGTAGAATGAAAATATTAATGGAATTATAAAATAGTCTCAATACAGACTTTTTATAGTCTTAGTTCAGACATGCTTTAATAATAGCCTCTGTACAGACTCTGCATAGTCTCAATCCAGTCCAACGTACAACTCGTCAATCACAGGCTGGTACCGTGTCAACAACTGTGGCCGCCTTGATTTGAATGTCGGGGTCAAAAGATCGTTCTCGACTGTAAATTGTTCCGTAGAGAGATAGATTTTTTTTGCCTGTTGAAAAGTGAGACTTGATAATAATTGAGAGACGCACAACCTGTTTCAATGGCTCGGCCGTGTGGCGCATCGTGCTAAGCGTAAGGAATATGATATCCACTGCACCTCTGATTATCCTGTGTGGGTTCGCAAGTTCGAATCCCGTGCGAGAATAGTTATGTGCGAGAGGATTGCTGGTCACCGTGGGGGGGTTCACGTAACCGCTGGTCGGTTAAGTCCAAGCATTTGAAACTAAGTAACTGACTAACTAATCCAATACCTAACTGGACTGGTAACTGCACGAAAGGCTGTGGTTCGCCATATAATTTAAGCCGACTTATCGAATTTTCATCTCCCCCGAGATAAATATGTAAATCCTATCCTATGACCACATTGGACAAACAGTTGGAAGGACGAAATCAAATGCGCTTCTACCGTGTATACAGAACTTGACTGTTAACAGAGTGGAAAGCTGTGATTCATGCTATACATGTCATCAGGTTTCCTCTACCGAGAACGGCAACCCCACCCCAGTATTGAGATTTCACGAAAGCTTAGTGTAATAGCTCTCATCCAGGAATGCCAAGAGCCACCCTTTTATGGCTTGCGGCCCCCTTCGGAAGTTTATAGCATTCATGGCACCCGTTTATCATTCCATTAGTATTTAGAGTGTTTTTTTGATTGGTAGATTCCTAATCCCCAAGTGAAAGCACCCTGTGAAACAACCTTGTCAGGCAATGAAGCTAGGAAAGGCCGGGAGTTTTTATTTGAAGGGAAATGTATAATCAGTTTTTAGCCTAACGTTGTGGCCCGCAACCAACTGTTCTGCGGCCTCCTTGGAGAGCCACGGGACCATGATTGAAATCCACTGGCCAAGAGTGTTGGAAGTAACAATATAACTAAGCCATCTATTCAACTTCCCTCTCTCCAGTATTAAAATCCCACTTACCAGTTCAAAAGACATCAATCCGTTCTTCTTACCAACTGCATTCATGTCGTCAAGGATAAGTTTTGCTGCGTCAGCATTTTTACAAAGGTCTTCATATTTGCCTGGAAGAAAATAAATAAATGAGAGATGAGCATTCTGGAGGAGACGGCATATGGTTGCTCTTTAATCATATGGTGAACCTCTCATTCGGTTACAAGTCAGTGTCGGTTATTTATTTGTTTCAGATCTGTAGACTCCATGACGGGGGAAGCTCGGTTACATGAACCACATGGCGACGAGGAGTCCAGCAATCTGCTCGATGCCTACCCACACAGGGTAATCAGAGGTGGCGAGTGTATTCCTATCGCTTAGCGCTAAGTTCGTCTGTATGGACATTAAGGACGATGGCTGAACTATACCAAACTGTTGGAGATCTCAGTTAGCTAATAGTCACCTCGCAGGGCTTCACATGTGAAAATCTTGAGGATAATTATGTTCTACAGTTTAGGAGACTGCAGAACTTCTCGATACCACAGCGCATCTCCCAACATCAAGTCCATGAAAATGATACAAAGTACTTGGTTAATTATTCCCAACCAGAGAAAGTAACCTGATCAATGGTTCCCAAATTATATAAGCCCCCCTTCCTCCCATTAAAACTAAAATATTTTATCCAATGCTGAAAATTTTATAGCGGAACCATCACACCACTTAACACATTCACTTTTTTACCCCCCCCCCTCCTCCCCGACATACCTGTGATTCCGCGACCTTTGCACCAGCCTTCCACTGTCTCAGGGTCAGGAACACAAATCACAACAAGACTTGCTTTGAGACTGTCGCCATGAACGAAGACCTGAAAGATATACAGTTATAGAAAAGTAGCTCCAAAAAAGGCTCTATGCCAGTAGCTCTGAGAAATTTTTTTCAGTTTTTCTAAACAAATTAACAGTGGCTCCTAATATGGCTACTTTTCCAGAACAGGGATTCCCAAACTTTCAAGCTCGCAAGCGCCGTCAATTTTTTAAAATTCTGCAACCCTTGTTCATGTTCAAAATGATAAACAGTTTGAAACATGAATTCTATTGAAACCGTGAGATTTATGTTTTGCACAAGTTTTGATAATTGTATTTCGAATCCAAAGTCTAAAAAAGTAAATTTTTGACCCACGGACTCTCTAGTACCAACTCTTCTTAACGACACAGATAAAGAAACCACAATTACCTGTGCAACTGGGGCAGACTGCACGTATATCTGTTCAATCTTTTCTGGTGCGATGTATTCTCCCTGAGCCAGCTTGAAGATATGCTTGCTACGATCAAAGATCTTCAGTTGACCGTCCTGGAATTAAAAAGTCAGGATTTAAATATTTATCCCGGGAAAAAGCTGATGAGACATTAGTAAGGAAAGTCTCATATGGGTCGAGTTTTCCAACGTTTGGACTGGGACCACACCTTTGATAGCAGCAGTATTGGTTAAAAGCACCTAAACTGAGTCCTAGTAAATTTTGAATAGGATAGGATTTTCATATTTATTTCGAGGGATGAAAGCATACCAGACCAATCATATGGGATATTAAGTTGTCCAGCAATCTTCTCTTACTTACATAACTAGGATTTACGGGGCGGTTCAATTATATATGCAAATTACGGCCTTTCGTCTATTACCACAAGATTCGTATCTGCTTACTTATTTGATGAACCTCTGTGAGAGTCAGGCCTCTCTGGTCCATCTCTAACTCTTGGTAAAAAGGCCAACTTACCGGTAAGAATTGTCCAACATCTCCAGTATGAAGCCAGCCATCTTCATCAATCGCTTGTTTTGTCTTCTCCTCGTCCTTGTAGTAACCAGAGAACAAACTGGTACCCTGGAATTGAGGGTTGCCAGGTTCGGAATAATAATAGTTAGGATTGCTAGATTTACAGCTAACAGCTCTGCCAGATTTTCAAGAAAGGGTTGCAAGATTTTTTACATACAGATTTTGTAAAATTCATAAAATGAGGTTTCAGAACTTTAGTAAAGGGGTTGCCACAGGTTTTTAAAAACTGAATGCCATATTTATATGGATTTGTCATAAAAGGGTTGTCAGATTTACAGCAAAGAAACTTGTCCAAAGAAAACTAATGTTATTAAACCGGATTCCTACCATCGCTACATACACTGTATGCCACACAGAAAGCAACAGTTAAAGCAGGACAGTTCAGCTAAGTATTGGAGGATTCCACATAACTCATGTTTAGGATTAGGATTGTTCAAACTTCCCAACACAAGCAGTGAAAAACAAAAATCTTCGACAAGCAGAAAAAAGATAGCAAATACCGATAGGCAGAGTTGGAAAATTATTACAAACCAAATTTTGCAAATTACAAGACAAAATCTTTATCATTCCCGAGTCTTATTTTTAAACAATAGGCTGAAATAACTTCAAATTCAAAAGCCTGAAAGAACAGTGTTTCTGATAGGAAATATTGTTCGTCATTATACCTTAACACAAACTTCTCCTTTGTTATCTTTGGCGAAGTAATTCTTCTCGGGAACATCGACTAACTTTGCGAAAATGTTCGGTATGAGGGCCCCAACGTTTCCTCCTTCGTAATCTCCTGGTATTGTGACAGAAATGCCTGCCGTAGCCTCTGTCTGTCCGTAACCTGAAAATAGTTCAAAAATTATTTTCACAGTTTTCTAACTTTTACTCTATACGAGTTGTTTTCAACCAGGGTTCTGTAACATCTTAGAGCTCTGTCAGTACAGTTCCCCGATTCCGCAAGTTTACATATATGTATATTTTTTAAATATGGGTGCTCCTGAAGTATGTGAACCAAGATGGCGGACACCGGAACGTAGTATGTGTACCAGGTCAGGGTTAGGCCATAATTTGATTCCAATTTTCCTTATTTTAGTTCTACTACGAGTTCAGGGACTAGTATTTGTACCTGGAATTATGGCCTAACCCTAACCTGGTACACATACTACAATTCATAGTCCGCCATCTTGTTTCAAATACTTCGAAATTACCTAAATAAGCTCAAATTCATGTTGGAATGACTTCAAAAATTATTGTTCCAACGGTTAGCGCAGTGTGCTAATCGTTAGCAATACGCTTGCCATCGCACATCTGATTACCCTGCGTGGATTCGACCGGTTAATATTTATGTGTAAGTGGATTACGTGACCATAAGGTTGTTCACACTATCCCAGGTCCACCTCCACTGTCAACATCATGTAACAAGTAACTGGTTTATCATTCTCTTACCCAACATGGACTGGTAACCGTAAGAGAGGCTGTTGTTCACCATATGATTACCAGATTTCCTCTCCCCCTGAGATAAATTCTAAAGTAACCACTCATACCTTCTGTGAAAGGGATTCCCAAAGCACATCTCATGAAGTTCAACACTACAGGAGAGATTGGAGCCGCACCTGTTGCACATAATCTTAGCCTTCCTCCCATCATGTTTTGAATTTTTCTGTAAAAAAGGGGTGGTTTTTAAATAAAATAAAAATTACGGTAGGTGTATCTTATTTTTTTCCCCGAAGGTTGTGAACTCAAGCAAATCTATGTGAGCCTAACCAGATTCGAATTATGAGAGGAAAATTAGGGAAATCAGGAAAATGATCATAAGTTAGGAAATCTAAATTTTGATGAACAAGAATGTTGACTCCAACCACCACTTTGTCAGACTGGAGTGGTTGTGCTCTACACCTAACTGCAATAAAAACAGTGCTTGGAATCCTCACTTGCAACAAGCCCCTAGGCAAGCAGCCACAGATACACGGAGAGCTATCATTTTAGAAGATCCGAAAACCTTGCTAGTTTATGGTTTGATTCCTATTACATATGGGGTGCCATCCTCCATAGCCAGCAAGGCTTTATCAATATTTGGAGTCACTATATATTGTCAGAGTAAAACTTTAAATTTATCAGAGAGGTATCAAAGATATCACTGATAGCTGCCACAGCTAGCACTTCACTTCATTGTGCTTAAAAAGGTAAAGTGTGGAGCAGCCCCCCCCTCCCCCCTAAAAAAAAAAAATTCACTTACTTGAATACCAAAGTATCCCAAAATGTTGACCTTGTTACGATTCCCTGCTTAAGTAATTTCATCTTGCTCTTTAGGGCACGATCAAGTAAAAATTTCTTTATCTTAGATTGTGCGGCTCCTGCCATGATCTGCAACAATAAATATTCACTGATTAGTACAAACTTAACACATGTTAGATTAGATACATAACATGGTGCTAGTGATCTCTCTAATTCATTTAGGTAGGCTATTCGAAAAAAGGGTTCCACCAGTTAAAAAACTAACGATACCCTAAAACAGGGCTACTCAACTGGCGGACCGAGGTCCGAATCCACCCCTTTCGGGTATTCGATTCGGACCGCGCATAATTCTTCATTTTGGATCATTAGCCCCACTTTTGAAGTTTCCTTTTATAAAATCACATCTATAGATTTAAAAATATATATGCAAAGAACTATAACGCCATAATAAACAATCTTGATTAGCTAAGAATCATTAGTCGGCCAAGGAATTGCGTGTTTAAGGGTGTCAAAATATAATTATGGGAAGTCCGAACCCAAATATTTTTTGAAGTTTTGTATGCAGAACTTCGGTAAAAATAGTTGAGTAGCCCTACCCTAAAAACGTAAATATCTGACAGGCCGTGATCAGGGAAAGCGCAAAACAGTCCAAAGGTTCAACCCACAACACCATAGCCACCCTTGCACTTAAAAAGATGATTGCTTTTCGTTAATAAGGCAATTTCATCAAATGAATTCCAGCTTTGCGTATGGTCTTAGTCAGACATCGTTTGGAGACATTGTTTTTCATGTTCTATTTCGAACATCCGCAAACCATTACCTCTTAGTCGGCGGCAACAATGTTTCATTGTTCGGGCTCATGAATTAGCTAACTATCCAGCATTTGCCTGAAGGGAACAAATACAATATCTGTACAAAGGTTGCAGGGTCTGTGTGTCACGAAACACCAATTCATTTTCAAGAAAAGTTATTTACTGCGCGCTCACATTCAGAACTTGCCATACAACGACAAAATATGCGCAAAATAATGTTGACAGAGAACAAGGATTATTGAATATCAGACATCCAGTGGCGATATATTGCACATAAAGAAGCTTGTAGCTAAATATCAATATTAAACATAATGCTTTATCTGTATATCGTGTCTTATCTATTATCTTATCTGTATATAACACACAATGGCTTATCTATTCCAAATTTCTTTATTGATCATACCTTATCATACACTCTGTTCATCAGCCTTGGTACCATTGGAAATATGGTTGGTTTGAGGGCCGCCAGATCATTCAGTAATAACTTCACATCTCCTTGGAAGAAGCCGATACTGTGAATGATAAATATTAGCTTAGGTTTTTAACAGATATGGACGATTTTAAGTCTTCTTGGGAAATAATGTCTTTCCAGGTAAATTAGCAAATTTAGGAAATATACAGTTGCTATTCGCAGTTTTCTAGTTATGAATATCTAGAGATGACACAGGCAAACGACGACCTGCGGAACAAATCTGGCCCAACTGATGCTAACATAGGGGTCGGCCGACCTTGTTGACCTTGGGAAGTCTTACCCGTCCCTTTCTGTATATATTTTATGGGGGCTCCCAAGAGTCCTATTATTTCACTATGTAGGACACCAGTAGAACTCTCGCTTGGAGCGATTGCCAAAGATTTGACCACCTGACCCAAAGTGTAATAAATTCAGTAGGCGATGCTGAATCAGAAAGATAACATTTCAGAACAGTGGCTGCTTGGCAAAGTAAAAATAATCACAAACCTTGCACCATCCTGATACACAAGTCCTTGAACTACTTTCTCAAACATGTGAGCAAGAGGGAGATACGAGAGATGAACATCGCTTGGCTGAACCTTCATGAAGGACTGGAAACATATAATGAAAAGAATAATAAATACTGATTCATGTGAGACTTGAAAAAAAATTCAGCTTAACACAATCTGTGAAACCCACATGAACGCGATTCTATTAAGATATTCCACCCTATACCATTATAGTCCCTGTATCCAGATAATAACAGATTACCATATTTTATGGATATGAGGCACACTTCAAATATTTATGTTTTTCAAAAATCGATCATACCGGTATCGATATAAGCTGGTACGCCTAATGTATGGATCAGGTAGAGTGCTTCATGCTTTATTGCCTACATTCAAAACCAGTACCAGTTGTGCCTTATATGTAAATAAAAACCCAATTAATTGTCAGTGCGCCTCACGGTTCGTAAAATGCAGTAGCTTCTGAAAAATGTATTTGCTATATGAACAAGCCATCCTAATGAATTTCCTATCCCCCACATCAGTGGCTTTCGACTGTGGTTTCGCAGGGATTACCTCAGTACGGTAATAAAAATAATCAAGAACAATATAAGTTTAATGCTATTATCAAACTCGCTACACTTTATAGATTTTTTGTTTTGCCAGTATCAGGTTTTCTTAATTTTCCCAATTTGGACAATTAAACTATGCTCTCGAGCCTCTAGATCAGGGCTACTCAACTATTTTTACGGAAGATCCACATACAAAACTTCAAACTTATTTGGGTCCGGTGTTTCCAGAAATTATATTTCGGCATCCGTAAACGCGCACTTCCTCGACCAGATAATGATTATCAGATAATCAAGATTGTTTACTATGGTGTTATCGTTCTTTTCACATATATTCAAAACAATAAAAGTCATTTTGTAAAATGAAACTTTAAATGTGGAAGAATCAAGTGCGATCCGAATCAAATACTCGAAAGGTCCGGATTTGGACCGCGGTCCGCCAGTTGAGTAGCCCTGCTCTAGATGTTGAATTTGGAATTCCGTTCTACCAAAAAGGTGTTTATTATTTAAAAGTTCCAGAAGTTCGAAATTGGGGTCTGATTTGAATTTCTTATGATCAGGCTCCACAGCCTTGGTCTTGGTTCGATACAGAAAAAACAATCTTTCAAAGAACACACTTACATCCGCTCCCATAGAGCTCAGTCCAGCAGTGTTGGCAACAATAGCTCCATGGGTGAGCATGGCTCCCTTTGGGTTTCCTGTTGTACCGCTCGTGAAACAGATAGTGTGAAGATCTGCAGGCTTTGGGGGCTGTAACATAAAAGTCGTGTATAAGTAGTAATTTTTGTACTTTCGGGGTTTGTATTTTTGTTTTATTATTTTCACCCAAAACAAGGTTATGTACAAACGGCCGCTGCTGGATAAGAGGGGGGAGGGAGGGTAATGCTTGTTTTATAGCAGGAGTGGCCAACACGTCGATCGCGATCGCGCTCCAAACAATGCTTTAAACAAGCACTTATATAATTCGACCCACACACAACAGCGCTTTCTTGTCGTCCAAAAGCATTAAAAATAATATTAAATACCAATATGGAGGTAACTAATTTTGTTCGCCTACTTTACATCAAGTTGTGTAAAGGTACTGAAACCTATGGGCAGGGAGTATATTTGCTGGGGTAACAACGACAGTCACCGAACTAGTAATAGAACTAAAATAAGGATCGGGTAAAATGATAGCCTAACCCTAACCTGGTACGCATAGTACAGAGGTACCAAATTCACACTAACCACAAAATCTTTCTTGTTATCCTTCCCCAAGTCTTCGAGTTCCTGGAAGGTAATGACTTCAATATTTCTTTCTTTCGCTTTCTGTTTCGTCTCGTCGGTCGGACTTTCGATCAAAACGATCAACTTGAGCTCGATCTCTGCATCGTTGAGAAGACTCATCGCTTTCACGTTTTTGTCAACAACGACAATGTCAAGATCGCCTGGAATTAGAAACAAATTTTTCAGAAATGAAGCACTTGTCTGTAGGTACTCCCGTAGTATGTGTACCAGGTTAGGGTTAGGCCATAATTTTATTCTGATTTCACCTTATTTTAGTTCTATTACAGGTTCGGGGACTGTCTGTGTTTGCCAAGTGAATATACCCACTGCCCATAGGTTTCAGTCCCTTTATACAACTTGATGTAAAGTAGGCAAACAAAATAAGTTACCTCCATATTGGTACACATACTTCTGAAGCGCCTTCGCCTGTATGGTACCAAGGCTCAGAACAGGGATTGTGATATAAGCAAGATTGGGTTGGGATAGACTTCCGTATTTATCTCGGTGAAAGGAAAGCCGATAAGACGTCTTAATTACATGGATAACCACAGTTAAATGTTATGTCGGACCTACCGGATAGGATAGAACTTGCATATTTATCTCAAGGGAAAGGTAAATTGATGAGACTGCTTAATCATTTGGCGTTTATTTCCAGTAATTTAGGACGATTTGCAAAAAAGTTATGTTCTTCCTAAAAATATGTTTAAAAGGACATCAGTTCTGTTCTTTTGTGGGGATTACCCATCACAACGAATTGAGTGGTAAGGATGAAGATCATTCAAAATTCCTCATGAGAGATTTTGCCGACCTATTATACTTACATTTGTGTACAATATATCTCATCGCTTGAGGTCCGAGTGTATCGTACAGCGGCACGATGACCATTGAATAACAGTTGCACGCTTGCTCAGTGACCGTCCATTCGACACGATTTTGTGAGAAAATTCCGATGAATTGGCTCGACTTTGCCTCTGCACCTTTAGCAATTAAACCGGATCCAATCCTTTGGGAACGGTCGAGAACCTGAACAGGAATGATAAGAGTGTTGGATAGATCATTTTTCAGGAGAAGGGTGGAGGTCAGGAGCGGGGAAAGCTAAGTAAAAATATATCTAAAACAGCTAAGTACTTATACTTGTACTGCAACATCTAAGTACTTATATGGAATGAAATCTTGGGAAATATGCTGTGGGGTTGGAAAACAAAAACTAATTTTTTTGGTGAGGGGGGACAGAAGAGCATAAAATTGAAAAATTATCATTTGTTTTTACATGCCAAAAACCTTAATTAACCATCTTTTCACAAAATTCAATTATCACTAATTCCGAGGGCACGCAATTTCATAGGACATTTTTTCTTTTATATTATCCTCTGTAGATTTCATCTACTGTCATCATTATGCTGAGATTCTTATACCCCGCAGGTCTTTATATGTCTTCCTGATGAACAATTATTAAATTTTAAAATGCAGACTAAAGTCATCTAGAAGTGGAAATCAACCAGCCAGACCTGGTGGATGTTACTTGGCAATTAGAAATTTCAGAAATTCCACCGGATAATTCCTGGCTGTGCCTCTGCATCTTACTGTCAATCTCGGACATTTAATTAACCCCCTATACACTCTATTAACCCTTTATCTTACCTCTTGATAAGAGAACCACTTGTAGGGCTGGTCTGGTCCAGGTCTGTATCCAAGACAGTTTCCATTGTCTGTAAAAAAAAGTATTGTTAGTTATTAAAGGAGATAAAACGGGATAAAAATATATACAAATTCACTCTAGTGGATACTCCCGTAGTATGTGTACCAGGTTAGGGTTAGGCTATAATTTTATTCAGTTTTTTCGTATTTTAGTTCTATCGCGAGTTCGGGGACTGTCTGTGTTAGCCAAGAGAATATATCCCTGCCCATAGGTTTTAGTCCCTTTACACAACTTGATGTAAAGTGGGCAAACAAAATTAGTTACCTCCATATTGGTACAAATACTTCTGGAGCGGCCTCTAGTCAAAATTTCAAATTTTCTCCAAGTTTGAATTTTAAGGCTCTTTAGTGGTTATAGTCAAGCCAAAATCTGCAGTGGGCCACAACCCGACCCGTAAAGCCATTTAGTCTGGCCCTTTTCTACACTCAAATTTTGGCGCCCTGGAAGTATTCGTACCAAGAGGACGCACAACCTGAACAACCCTAACCTGGTACACATATGTTCAGGTTGTGCGCCATCTTGGTTCAAATACTTCGGGAGCACCCAAATTCTCCCCATGAAGCATGAAATCAAATCCGATAGGCTCTTTCAAGGCTGAAGTTAACAAACTACGCACAATTGATCTCCCACTAAAATGTTAATTCAATTAATGTAATGTATTGTGAGAATTTTTAATCGTTATGTAGATGAAAGTTGGTTATAAGGCCCGCCAATAAAATGTTTCACACTCCTTGTAATAAAATTGAATTAACGCTACCTAATGTGGCTAGCGTGTCACCACTATTGAGCAATCTGAAGATGTTAATAGTCGCGTGGCAAAGCTTGGGTTTTATTTGAATAGCACATCAAGATGTTAAGTCATGTAACTTTTTTTTTCTTTTTCTTGTTTTAGTATGGCAGTAATGTTCAAGTTAATAAAAGCCTAGAACAGGGGTGGCCAACCCTAGACTCGCGAGCGGCATGCGGCTCTTGCTCCAGTTACATGAGACTCTTTTTGCCTTGGGAAAAATGACCCAATGTCAAACGAGCTGCGCTTAGGATATTGTCAATATTTGGGTCAACATACCAAACTAGCATTCTAGCAGGGCTGAATGAAGATATATTTGATGTTCATGTGTGTTACTGTTTATAATTTAGCTCTTCGCAGTAAAACAGTACGAAATGTGAATCTTGGTTTCTGACTGGTTGGTCACAGTTTTACTCAATTCATTTTACTACGCCCCCGAAATAGATGAACATAGATACTCACTAGACACCCTCAACCCTCTGAGAAAGGCTTCATGGCAGGTTCTGGAATCTTCATACATGAACTCAAGGAGTTTTCCATCTTTAATAAGAGGTGAACACCTGATGCCTTTCTCTTCCTAAAATGAAGTTAATAAAGGATTTAGTGATTGTGTTAATTACAATGGTGATAGCTCCGATTTTTGTTAAGAAAAAAAAATGGGACGCCACTACATTTTGTTAGAAATACAGAAACATAAAAAAAAAGATTTTGGAAAACTATAGCTAAAATAGGCGTTACTTGATAAATCATGATTCACAAAATGAAACAAACCAAAATAGTCTAGTCTAGAAACTCTAAAATAACTAAAATATCCTGCTCTCAGCAAAAAGAAATTTGCATGTTGAATTAAATTTTGGCAATTTGAACATGCAATAAAAATTACATGAAAATGTGTTCATGATTGTAGCTAGTCTGCTATAAAGGTTATTTTTTTTTCAAATTTATTCTACAACTAATATAATTAATCAAATGTATTGTCAATTAAAAAAAATAAGAAAAGTGCAAGCAATAGAGGGCTTGCTATATGCTTGAAGATATGGCCATTCATAGTGCTCATAGCTATGGGAAACGTTACTGTGGTGATAAGTCGAATTTTCTTCCCAATGATTCGTGCTACAGAAAGTGAACGTGTTGTGAGTTTGAGAACCAACGAGCTAGTCCAAATCAAACTTCAAACGACATTATAATTGTTCATACAGTGACAGCGTGATGGACTCATAGCACAGAGGTACATAGTTGCTGCTTTTTCAAATTACTACTTATCTACAACCAGGAATGTAACCAGGAATTTCTGAAGATGAGGTTTTGAAATTTCTATTTCCTGAGTTAGACCGTAACTGCTAGCAAGTCTTCAATTTCAAGATGCTTTAGTTTCGCATCAAGATTAGTCTTACGCTGGCAAACAAAGTTAACAATTTGCAATATTGCTATAAATGTTATTCTTCGCATAATTCACTTAACATTAATAAAGTTAGACTTCTGTTCAATGAGTTGTATTTTGGGTACTCCCGAAGTATGTGAACCAAAATGGCAGACAGCGGAACGCTCCAGTAGTATTTGTACCTGAGATAATTTACTATCCTTAACCTGGTACACATACTTCGGGAGTACCGTATTTTGTATCACACAAAGTAAATGCGCAGTAAGTTTAAAAACTTTGTTCATGCCCTATGATCATGCCCATAAAAAAATTCTGAAACACTAGCTCATCGAAAACAAAGTCACGTATTAAATTCCAATCGAGATATAAATCTTTCGGACTTTGATCGGGGCTCGTATGGTGAAAACAAATCTGATTTCAAATTCCAGAATGATTACAAACAATTTCCCTCAGGCTGTAAATTAAGGAAGAGGTGTGTCATGGGATGGTCGATGGAGAAGCATTTGTTATTATCATTCTAAAAAGGGCTCTGCACAAGCAAACTCATTTAAGGAGGCGTGGTAAGAGGGCGTGAAGTAAGGTGGGCAAGAAGCCTTTTCCATTACAGCTTTCAATTTTGGAGTTGCCATTCTGTAGCAAATTGAGGAAGCACTGTTCGGAAGAATTTGAAATCTGGAATTGCCTATCTAATAATCCTTTTTCACATTGTCCTTAAGAATAAGTCTCTGCAAGAGAGAATTCATAACATGAAGTAGAGCGTTAAAAAGGGTGTGGCAAGTGTTTGCAAAATTCAGCAATTTTTGAAGAAATTGTTTTTCATAAGATGATTCAGATCAGAGCGGTAAAAAGGGCGTGGCAACTGGCAAGTGTTTGCAAAATGCAGCAATTTTTGGAGAAAGTGTAATATTAGACTAGTAATAATAAGATAACATAGATAATCTGGCACTTAGAAACAGGAAACATGTACAAGACTTGCGACCCCCCATGTATTCGGTGAAATGATTTTCCTTGAATCTGAAAATCTTTCAGTTTTGGATGTATTGGATTGTTGTTAGTCAAATAACCAAAACACAGAAAGAAAAAATATAAAAAATGCTGTCTATGAAATTGGTCTGTTTTTGCGCTCAGGATGTTATTATTAAGTAATAATGACTATACTTACATCACAAATAACGCTTTGTTTTTGCGTCAATTCCTGATATGGCATGGTATTCAAAAACTCATTGATATTATAACCGGAAGCTTTCGCCTCACCATTGGTTTTTTGTTCCCCATCACCATTTGCGGTTTTGGGGTCTGAATCGGGGGATTCTGCACTCGTATCCCCATTACTAGGGGACTTATCTGCAGATGTCGGCTCATTATTAGTGGACTTATCACAATCTGTCCCTTCTTCAGGGGATTCTGCAGGATTACCATCCCCTGTTTGAGTATCGGAAGTTGGAAGATCTTTAGTTAGACCTTGTTCTGTTGTCTGTTGGAGCTGCTCAGGCGTGACCTGTGCTTGTTCTGTCACAATCTCTTGTTCAACTGTCATTTTTATAATTAGTAATTAATTATATTACAAAATATCTACTGGTCAGCGTTAGTTTAAATAAACAGCAAAAAAATGAATATTTGTTTAGTAAGTGCCAATTTAAATAAGCAGACAACTACAAAAATAAAACCAAATTATGAGTATTAATTAAACAATAACTAATAATTGGGTTATTTAATTAGCAGCTACTAATTATATAATTTGGAGCTCCAGAAGTATGTGTACCAAGATATGGCATAACCTGAACATAGTATGCGTACCAAGTTAGGGTTCAGGTTGTGCGCCATCTTGGTGCACATACTTCGAGAGCGCCCATATTTCTACAGAAAACCACACTGGACAGCGACACATGGGTTATTATATTGAACCAAGTTGCACACTGAATTATTTCGAATGGCTCCACAATTAGCACTTACGTCAAATATAACAGATTGTATTTTATTTAAATCTTCAGGTTCTAAAAGTGTTAAATGTTGTCGAGCGTCTGTTTTTTGACCACCGGTCCCGGAATTTATCATTTTTGAGGTCTCGGGGTAGGAGGGGGATGCACCTTTCTGAGGGGAATCAGAATACGAGCCCTCGTCAGAAGACAAATTTTGCTCTGTAGAAGCTTGTGCTCGTGACATCATAAATCTATGCTCAATCACAATTTTTTACGACATAAATTCATAAAAACTGTGTAAAGATAATACTGAACTATTATTCAATGTAGACTTTGATTTTCCTATCAATAATAACTAAGGTTCACACTGAATTATTCTGCGTAGACTTTGATTTTTCTATCATTAAAAAATAAGGTGCACACTGAATTATTCTGTGTGTAGACTTTGATCATTTTAACATCGGCAACTACTAACTGGGGTGCACACTGAATTATTCTGTCCAGCTAAGACATTCCGACACTTACATCTGTAACAACAGATTGTTTTTTAACCAACTTTTTAGGAGGTAAATTTTTTTTTAAATGTCTCCGAGCCTCTTTTTTTTGTCCTTTAGGCTCCATTTCTGGAGAAGGATAATATGTGGATGAATATGAAGACATCCCGCCCGGGGTTAACTCGGGCTTGTGACCTCTGAAACCTATGTTCAATCGCCATTTTTTATCTTACAGTTTAAACTAGGAAAAACTGTAAAGAGATGATACTGTTTCATTAAAACTTTAAAATTCATATGAAAAAAACGAATAAATATTGACACAATGTATTTCTGTAACGATTCGTCTGGCCAAATTCAGACTTTCTCAGACAACAGTTTACAATGATTGCAAATTTTTTTTGTCATTTCTGTATCGTTACTACTTATTGCAGAACACCAAGACCAGTGACAGACGCATGGTGCAAGTCGTTTAAGACCTGAGATACCATTGACAATCCTGTGTGAGTTCACTCACCTCCGTGGAGAGAGTATTAAGAAATGCAGCTCTGGCTTAAGAACTATGTCAAGCCACATATAATTTCAACAACAATTAACTCACAATTAATTAATTAGGGTTAATTGATTAACTCGCTAGATTACAACAACAGCTACACTAAATTGCGATTTATATCTGAATAACAACTAATGTGCACACTGAATTATTCTGTGTAGACTGTGATCAAAGTACAATCAAACCAAATTACAAACTGAATTATTCTGTGCAGAATCATAAATGAACAGAAGTCAACACAAAGTCTATTTACAAATACAAGCTAAGGTTATTCTATTATAAATAACCAAAGTGCACACTATATTATTCTGCGTAGACATTGATCATTCTAATATAGACAACCAGGGTGCACACAGAATTATTCTGCATAGCTACAGCATTCCGACACTACAACTTACATCCGTAACAACAGACTGTTTCTTTTTCAAAATTTCAGGAGGTAAAAGATCCAAATGCATTCGGGCTCCCACTGTTTGTTCAAAACCCCATGCTTTTACTGCTTTAGGAGTTTCCGACTCCTGAGAAGGCCCGGGCTCATCTATTTGAAATATTTCAGCAGGGGGAGGATTCACTTTCAAAGGGGGTTCATTAGCTTTTTCTGTGTCTGACGAGGAGTTATCATCAGTCGAAGCTTGCTCAGGTGAAACTTGCGCTTGGCTCATCAAAAACATGTGTTCAATCGCCATTTTTTAATAGTTATTTAAAAAATTATAAAAACTGAACAAAAATATTTTATCCATTAATTTCCCAACGATAAAGGTTATATAAACCACTGAAACGCAAACTCAAACACAGGAGCACTAAAAACATTTGCCAAACTACTGCCTGCTGTCCCGATACCTTGTCACAGCCTTTTGTGCGGCCAATCAGCTCTCTGAGAACATTGCGCAAATTTCACATTTCTGGTTGAACAATGTTGGTTAAACCAGGAGCCCAGTGGCCCAAACGCTAAACAATTTTTCAAAATCAGCCTTTGCAAAAAGGATCTCAACTCTCAAACTAACTGTCTGTGACTATACCAAGAACATATAAACACGAAATCCTATCCTACCAAATTAGAACAACCAAACTCATTTCTATCCATATTTTATGTTCACCTTCGCAGGCAAGTAACCTATCTCTGTGGCTCTTATGGTCTGGGCTAGAACATGAATAAATAATGCAAGTAGGCTGGGTTCCCTCCTTGTGAATTAGGATAGATAGGATGGCATTTCCTTATTTATTTCAGGGGAGAGGAAAACCAACAAGATGGCTCATGGGATATGGGTACTCGGTTATTCATCTCAGATCAGTGGTTCCCGAACGGTGGGGCTCGCTCGTCTGGGGGCTCGTCGTCGTGGGCCTAAAAAAATTTGGGGGGGGGGGGTGAAGCTAATTAGAAATAAAAACATTTGTTTGATCTGATTCCGCATTATTTCGAATATTTACATTTCTTTATTTTCATTCACGTATTTTCAACATGTTTTTTTTTAATAAAATATACTTTCGCCTTACTATCTGTTATTTGTTGTTTGAAGCTTGTTGTTAGATAGTTATTTTGGAGGTGAGGCGAGAGACTTGACAGAAGGTTTGAGAATTACTGTTCCAGGTGCAAAAGCTTAGGATACGCAGATTACACAGCTTTACGAGATATATATAGTCAAATTAAGTATGTTCAAGTATGGCTCGCATCTACTACGTATTGGTGGGCGAGAAAATACGCGAGAAGGATTATTACGTCACAGTTGTACTAATTACCGCTTTCTCGTTATATTAAATTATTAAATAAGGTATAATTACAGTGCTGAAAGCGCAAATACAGACAATCGGAAATTAGTTTATTAATTTGCGCGGAAGATCATCGATTATGAATGTGATCCATAGTCTTGCTCTGTCCAAGCAAGAACTGAAATCTGTAGAGATATTGAAAATCTAACTCTATACAGGGTGTCCAAAAAGTCCATTTACAATTTCGATTTCATTATGAAGTCAGTTCTCAATATATCTCAACCAGGTTTGTAATGAGTAATTGTTCAAGTATTTTTACTTCATTTAATACATCTGTGAGGGCCAAAACAATATTATGCTATCGATAAATTTCTTTTACAATTTTAAAAATTTACGACTATATGGACACCCTATGTATCAAGAAAGTGCGTCGAGACGGCCTGATATAACAAGATGTCGCTTGTTTTATCAAAACAAAAACGAAACGAGCAGCATTGTTCCGCCGAGACTAGAAAGTGAAATATGAGCCTTGACTAGCTTTACAACAATGATTCAAAACGACGCAACCACGCACTTTATATGACAAACGTGAAAGTCCCAATTCAGTGAATACCTTTTGTTCAGACTCTAAAAATAATTATGTACTATTTTTGTAATTCGGTTTATTTCGGGTTACGTTATTGCCACGTCCTATACCAAATAAACTGTTAACAAAAACGCATATTCCTCTGCTACGACATACGGCCAATTATATGATACACGGCGATTGATATTGTTGTAAAATGCCTGCCAGAGAAGTCTAGATTTTGTCAGGTGACGATTTGCCCGAACGTCAAATGTTTGAACTTTATACGCGAGTCAAATTTATTTGTTTGTGTATATTAGTATTCCAGAAGAAGAAGAATTGAGGCTTCCCTTTCTTAATTTAGTGAATTCTAAACCCTGAAATGGCGTAATTACTGTAAAACTACAGGTTCGCAAAAGTTTGCTTGTGTGAGCATTTTAAAAATAGCTTCCCTCGCCCTGAAGGCTGCGATCATTTATTTGAATATAAATACAATTCTGATTTTCCTAAGCATGTCTTATTGGTCCACCTGTGATTTACTCTCGACTTATGTGGAGTCAGAAAAAGTGTTATTTCAACAATACATAAACATTTCGTAATAGTGCGACGCCATGTTACCAAGCACTTCAAGTTTTGCATTCTGCTCTAACTTAATTCTCCCAACAGTCGCTACAAATCCCACAGTCCGGCTTTTGTTAGTATTTTATGTTCAACTTTTTTTCTTCGTATTATTTAATGATAACCTCACGGCTCACTCCCTCATAACTGACACTGCTCGATAACTGGTCTATCCCGTCTCCTTTCACACTAAAATGATTTTTTTTTTATTAATTATGTTTGTATAATGTGTACTTTCGGCATGTGAAAAATTAAACTACTCTAGCCTACTGACACTACTCTTGCCCAGCTCACAAACAAAATTACAAAATAAAAAAAGAGAAACACTTCTAAACGAAAAATGACATAAACAACAACCACCGCATTCCCAGAGCATGATTGGACTTATTTTGCGGCCTCGAGGCATCAAAATCACCAATTCGATAATTGACCTTTTCTAAAACGATTAATATTACGAGGTGATTCAGATGTAATTGCTTCGTCATTAATATCTTTGATTCTGATCATCTAGGTATAGGACAAATTTTCCCAACCCTCTGCAATGCATTCTTTCCTTTTCCCTCTTTGGTACTCTACGGTGTACCGTAGACAATTACAATTTTTCTGGGGTTAAAGTTCCATGCTGAGAGTCTATAATGTAACAGAATCCGTTTCAATTTAGGACCTCCAGAAGTATGCGCACCAAGATGGCGCACAACCTGAACATTGTATGTGTGTGTACCGGTTAGGA